GTCTATCTTTCCAATCTAACGTGCCAGTTGTCCCTCTGGGTTCTTTAATTATCTTAACCAGCGTAACACAGCATGGTCTGTCCTGATGGTAAACCTTGCACCATAGAGGTAAGGATGGAAATATGTCAGATTCTTTACTATAGCAAGAAGTTCCTCTCTGGGCTACTCAAAACCCTACTCAAGTAGGCCACCACATGTTCGTTTTCGCCCACTTTCTGAGACAACACTCCTCCAATTCCGACATTACTAGCATCACAATCCAATATGTACGGCAGTGAGGGATCTGGAAGCTTTAAAAGTGAAGCGGAGGCCAATTTTTCTTTCAATGTCTTGAAAGAATGCTGGCAAGAAACTGTCCATTCAAACTTCTGGCCCTTTTTAGTCAAATCATGTAGTGGAGCAGCTATAGTTGCAAAGTTCTTCACAAGCTTCCGGTAATAGGTACAGAATCTCAAGAAACTTCTTAACTCTCCCACATTGTCTGGTGTTGGCCAATCACGCACTGCTTTCACCTTGTCAGGATCAGTTTGCACACCATGCTCACTTACAATGTGACCTAAGTAAAGCACCTCTTTCTAGAACAAGTGGCATTTCTTGGGATGGAGTTTGAGGTTTGCTGTTTTCAAATGCTTGAATACTTCCCCTAGCCGGGACATTTCCTCATCAAAAGTTGTTGCAAATACAATGATATCGTCCAGGTACACTAGAGCTATCCTCCATTGTAGGCCTTCCAATACTCTTTCCATCAGCCTCTCAAATGTAGCTGGAGCATTACTAAGCCCGAATGGCATCACTCGGTATTGCCAGAGACCTTGGCCATAACTAAATGATGTCTTAGGTCTATCTGCTTCAGCCATTTTTACTTGCTGGAAACCTGTCTTTAAGTACAGTGTTGAAAACCACCTGGCTCCACTTAGGGCATCAAGAGTATCATCAATTATTGGCAGTGGGTATGAGTCTTTTTCGGTTATACTGTTAAGAGCTCTGAAGTCCATACAGCAATGTTGGGTCCCATCCTTATTCGGGACTAACATGACGGGAGCTGACTTGGGACTATCTGATTTCTCGACTAACCCTTCCTTAATTAGGCCATCCACGACCTTCTCCATCTTTTCTCGCTTTGCCTGAGCTATTCTCCTTGGAGAGATCTTTATTGGATGGCGATTGCCTGTGTTTATTCTGTGCTCCACA